TTTTATCTTGTCTAGTGCCTTTTAGATAGTCTGTTAGGCTAGGTATTCTATTGTCTTTGCTATATATTAGTGTCTTAGTCCCTTGAAGTATTGTTTGACTAGTAGGATCCCTAATTCTATTTCTACTACCCTTATTAGTGTAGTTTTGTATGCTCCTAGGATTTTCTTTAGGCTTTAGGTTTAGGACCTACTAACTAGTTGCTTAATCCTCTTTAGTGTTTTCTCCTAGGCTGTCTATATCTATACTCTATATAGCATTACTAGCTTAACAATTGCTTTGTATATAACTTTAGCTTTCTCGAATATAGCCCCCTATATAGAGGCTATAAGCCTATTAATGGATTGTATATTAGTATCTGCCCTCTGCTTTGCCTTCTTTACTTATAGTCCCTAATTTAGTTTTAGATCCAGCTAGATCCCTAGTACCCTAAGTTCTGCTAATAGTTGGGTTTTAAAGCCCTAGATAGTGATTGATTGCTTTATATTATAGGTTGATTTAGCCTTGCTAAAGTGGATAAGCTAGTACTTTTCTAGGGCGAATTTTGCTCTATACCTCCTTACCTATTTCTTATACTCCTAGTGCTTCTCTTCTAGGATCTTGTAGTTGGTTTCTATTGTCTTAGACTAGGCTAGGATGTTTGTATTATCTACAAATCCTAATGCTAATGTGTTTTTTGATTCTAGGAGTAGGAGTAGGTCTACTATAAAGATAAGGAAGAGGATTAGGGAGAGTATTAATCCTTAGGGGATTCCCTTTTTAGTTAGTATTAGGTCTGATTTAAATTTGCCTAGAATAAGCTATATTAATCTTTCCTATAGGAAGGACTAGATAAATTAGACTATCCAGTTTAGTATAGCTTTCTATTTAAGTATATATAGGAGCCTTTTATAGGAGATATTGTTAAAGGCTCCTAAGATGTTAAGGGAGAGGAGGGTTGCTACCTAGTTTTAACTATAGTGCTAGATATGCTTAATCTGTTCTGTAATTAGTTCTATAGCTATTAGTATTGACCTCTTCTTTCTTCCTCCTATCTAGCCTTTAGGAAGGATGTTCCTTTCCTCGGTAAAGGTTGTTAGCCTTTTAGCGACAATTTTTTCTAGCACCTTGCCTATTATATTAAGTAGGGCTATTAGTCTATAGGCCTTAAGCTATATGTAGTCTTCCTTCTAGGGCTTCCTTAGCACTACTATTAGGGACTTCCTAAATAGTCTTAGGTAGTGTCCTAGTGCTAGGCTCTATAAAAAGATATTAGCTAGTGCTAAGGCTAGCCCCTTCCTATATACTTTTAGAAGTTTGTTGTAGATCTTGTCTTCTCCTAGTGCCTTATTGCCTAGAATTTTCTTCAGGATCCTTTTAATAGTTTCGGGTTTGACCTAGGTGTCTCCTAGTATACCTAGTAGTAGAGTCTCTTATTCTTTCTCCTTTATATCTAATAGATCTGCTTATACTTTTCTATAGAAGAAGTATTAGCCTAAGGCTCTTGCTTTCCCTTCTATTATAGTCTATATTTGTCCTTATTAGTCTATAATGTCCGGGAATTGTAGTAGTATGTCCTTATCCTATTTAGGTCTCCTTGCCTATTTAGCTATCCTCTATATCTCCTCTAGTTTCTTTGTAATTATTCCTATTATAGATCTCCATTCTTGTATCTTGTCCTTCTTAATCTAGATCTTCTTTTCCTAGTAGGCTTTATTATAGTTGTCCTATGCTTCCTAGGTATAGGTTTATATCTACTACCTCCTAGCCTTCCTTACTACTTTAACCTTCCTTGTATACTTACTAGTCTAGTATAGTTGCTAGTATAGTGAATGTTTCTTTGCTAGGGTATGCTTTCTAGCTACCTATTTTAGGATTCCTATTAGTTCTTCTACTACCTTATTAATGTCCTCTAGTCTTAGTAGGTGTTTTGTTAAGAGTTCCTCTAGTTTTAGGTCCCTTTCTAGTTCCTCCCTAATCCTGCCCTATTAGGTACCTTTCTAGTTAAGCTTCTCCTCTAGTTCCCTTTCCTAATTAGCTTAGATATTTAGCTTAATCTATACCGGGAAGTGGTCTAATAATTCTTCTAGTTCCTAGTTGACCCTATATCTTATAATCCTATTCTTAATCTAATGTAATACAAAGCATAGGTCTAGTATACTACTGCTTCCTCTTGCCTCCTAGGTAATTAGTCCCTTTAGGGTAACAATTTCTATTCCTTCCCTCTCTAATATATTAATTAGTCTTCCTACTAGGAAGTAGTAAGCTAGGGTAAAGTCTAAGCCCTAGAGGGGGTAGTAGAGGTTGAAATCCCTAAGTAGGATTTAGTAGGTGTTCCCCTAGATAACTCTAGGTAGTCTCTCTAGGGTTTTCAGTTAGGTACTGCTTCTTAAGTCTAGTAGTGGGTTGTATATATAGTAGACTTAGAGTGTACCTTAGGATTTCTCTACTTAAACTGATATTAGGTCCCTATCCTCCTATAGTATAGCCTACTAGGTTTCTATATCTATCTCCTTACTAATATAGATGCATATCCTTAGGGCTCCCTAGTTATAGATAATTAGGTAGTATCTTAGGTCTTTAACTGTTGCTAGTCTCTTTATATATAGGTTGAGCTAGGGCTCTTAGATTGCAATAATGTAATATTCTTTTAGGTTTAGTACTTAAAGGAAGCTCCTCTATACCTTGTCTTTGCTTTTGTTGACATTATACTGTATAATGTTTAGTAATGTTGCAATATTTATTAGGTTTTATCTATATTATTTCCCTATAAGTTTTCCTTTAGTCTTCCCTTACTTTAGACTAATATTTGACTAAGCTTTGTCTGCCCTGCTTCCTTTCCTATAATGTTAAGGTATCTTAGTCTCCCTAGTAGCTAGTGACTCTCTTATACTAGTAAGGCCCTAAATATAAACCTATTATCTTGTCTAGACCTCTTTTATAGTACTTAGCTAGGTTGCTTCTGTACCTAGCTGCCCTAGCTTATTGTATATCTTTTTAGTATATTGATTCTAGCTTCCTTTGCCTTTCTAGCTGCCTGTATTCTTACTAGGCATTCCTTCGCCTAAGAGGGGTGTCTTTTAGTGCAGCATACATATCTTGCTTCTCCCTTATATGCTTTACATTCCTTGACCTAGTAATCCCCTATATAGTAGGAGTAGGTATTAGTTGTCTTTGTGTACTTAGCTGCTAAGTGTCTATAGTGTTGACATTTAAAGTACTACATTATCCTATAGTTGCTTCTATATATCTCTATTTCTAATCTTTTAAAGTCCTAGAACAACCCCTAGTCTAGTACTATATTAGCTTGCTCTACACTCCCTACCTAGATAATTAGGGAAGACTACTTCTTAGTCTCTTCGATTTTCCTTTTAATCTATACTACTTTTATAATCTTCAGGCCTAGGTATATAGCTTAGTTTTGTCTCTATAGGCTCTTAATATCCTATTCTTCCTTAAAGCTTCTTATTATGCTATAGGCTATAATTATAAATTGCTATTAGGAGACCTTTACTGTTTTCCCTATCTTGGTTGTCTATTCTTTTTATGTTTCTAGCTTCTTTTTGTCCTGCTCTTATGCTATAAATAGCTTAATTACCCCTTTACCTTCGTTCCTAGCCCTAATTACCTCTTTAACTATAATTCTTTCTATAATCTCTTTCCCTATAAGTCCTTAGATCTCCTTTTGCTCCTATAGGTCCGTAATATAGACTCTAACTACTATCCTCGGGGGTTTTAGCGCCTCCTAACTAGCTACTGCTGCCTAGGTGCGGTAGTTTAGGCTTGTCTCCTATTGTTTCTTCGTAATCTTTGCTACGACTATATTAGCTACCTTTATAATTACGTAGCTTGCCTAGTTGTAGATTGCTTTTAGTCCTCTAAGGAGTTCTAAGATTATTATCTTATATACCCTCTTAGGGGTTCTTCTATCTTCTGCCTTTAGTACCTCCTCTACCCTAGTATATAGTACTTTCTATTCGTCCTCCCTTCCTTCTTAACTGTCTTCCCTTCGTCTCTAATTGTTCGCTACTATTTTTTAACGCCTTCTATACCGATTATATAGTCGCATTCCTTTATAAGATTATATAAGGTAAATATTACTTTACTTCGCTCTACTAAGCCTAGATATTCTAACTACGAGTACGATACTCCCTCGCCTTATAGTTAGGACTAACTATCTGTTCTATAGTCGTTAGGAAGGATATTAAGTATTTATCGCTATTAGATAGTAACTCCCTAAAAGTAGTCTAAGGGATTTTAAACGCCTTCGTCGTAAAGTTAGCCTTACTCCTAAGTATTCTAGATTCTTCCCTAGTTATTATAGCTAAGTATTAGCTCCCGACTAAGAGAAGTTCTAGTAAGGCTAGTTCGGTAATAAACAATGCTAGCATTTAGATAGTAGACTGCTCGTGTCTAGTCAAGCTTCCGCTACTGCTAGGTGTTGCTTTTGATTTGGTTCCGCTCTCTATAAGGAGCAAGTTACTAGTCGAGGTACAGTAGAGAACGGAAGTTTAGCGAAGGGGGAGCTTTTATATAAGGCATAGGGCAGCGCCTACAAATGGAGTTAGCTAATAGCCTAACGTTTCAAGTGCAACCGATTATGAATTTAGAGAGTAGAAGAGACGGTACCGTCGGAACGAAAGCGCAGTTTGAACTGTCTGAGCTTGCATACCTAAGAGATGATGTTAGAGACTCGTAGACTAGAACGCCCGCTGTGTTTCCTAGATCACATCGCTATGCCATTACCCGTTAAGTATACGTTCGACGTTATTTGAAACCTAACAGCAAACCTGACTGAAAACTGGAGACTCTATTAGAGGTCGCCGTCTTGGAGTTGCGCCGTATAGTAGCACCTATCACCGAGGCCACGAGAGTCTGCGGCTCTGTGCTGTTCCGGTAATGTCTAATCAATCTACTAGCGCTCCCTAGTAGCCACCTATACATCTTATTAAGCTTTCACATTTCTTTCATCCGGCTCTTTATTTACTTATAGCTTAACTGTGTTCTAGCAAAGGCCTATGCTATGCTATGCCTCTCTCCGTCTTTTAACGAGTGCTGCAGTAATGTGTTCGGTGCAATAGCGCAGACGTGCGTTTTGTCGATGTCGTTGCAATATTCTAAGGTCGTAGAAGGACTATGTCGAAGCGCGATTAGTGATTTTCTTAGACGTCTCCGCACTAAGCTAATGCCTGTCGCCCGGAGAAGCAGCTTACGTTTTGGCCATGCATTAGCAGTTTGCAGAATAAATTAGAGGACGTCAAGCATTCCTATCTATCTCCTGTCAGTCTTCCAAGCCTCGGTCGTTGTTCTGCTCTATTTTGAAGGCTGCATTCGAGCTTCGCGGATGCACTTGGAGTGTGTAGTGTTAGGGTTCATTACGTGCCTGATGCCTAAGGCTGTAACTGCCACACTTCATCTTTAGGCTTTCTGTAATTAGCCCTTCTTCTAAATACAATTATTAGTTACATTCAAGTGGTTATAAGCCCCCTGCGTTTCTAACGCGCACGATACGTTTACTACGTATTCTAATAGTTACTCCGACTGCTACGTAGCTAGCGCTTATTACTAAAAATTGCGCTAATACTATTATTATCGCCGCCGCCGCCCTCGAGTGTTCTAGCAGGTGCTAGTCCGACTCGAGTCGGTTAATAACAATAGTGTCGGCTGTCCGCTATACTAAAACCTAGGCGCGCCTATCGGCCGCCTTTTAAGACAAGTTTATAGTCTCTTTCTATATCGCTGTTACTATCTATAATAGCTTCCCCTATAACTACTAACGCTTATATAAGCAACATCCCTAAGCTAAAGAACAAGGAGAATTATCTAGTATAGGCCTATACCGCTAAGGGTGCCCTTAAAGGCATATAGGTATAGCGCTATATCTAAGGGACCCGTCTAAAGCCTAAGATTAAACTATTATCTACTAAAACATAGGAGCAATTTAAAGACCGCTAAGATAAATAGGAGGCAAAGGACCAGTTAGCGCGTACGTAGATATTCGCTAACTATATGTCGGAGATCTAGTAGTCGTTACTTAGACTCGATACCTCTAAGGTAGTATAGGATTATCTATATAAGAAATATACTAGTAAAGGCAGGTCTACTAAATTTATACTCTTCTAGGACTATATTACCCTTCGCTACGATAGTAAGGACGTCGAGAAGTTCTATAACGAATGTAAGAAGAAGCTCGGTGCCTTAAAGGATACTAAATTAGCTATTAGCTAATATTAGGCTGTCTATATATTTATTATATAGATCTCTCTATTCTACGAGGCTTTTATATAGATACGCCGTAAGCAGATGCGCGCCTTAGAATATACTATTAATAATAGCACCCTTAATAACATTATTAGCGCGTTACTTAATAAGAATATAGCTTAATTAAACTAGGCCTAATATAATAGATTCTTTAGTCTTTAACGCTAACTATAATAGTAAGGTAGCAATAGCAATAGCAATAGTCGAGGTAACTCGAACCGTAGCGGTCGTAGTAGCTACGGAAATAATAACAACGGTCGAGGCCGCGGTAGAAGCAACTAGAATAGTTATTAGTCTAACCGTAAGAAGTGCGCCTATTGTTAGGGATTACACCCTTCTAACCGCTACTATACTAAGTACCCTTACCTAAAGGAGGAAGACCGACTACGTCGTAAACAGTAGAAGGCTAAGAAGAAGGGGGTATAGCAATAGTAGTAGCGTAGACTAACTACTTAGTAATAGTAGCAGCCGCTATCTAGTTAGAATAGTGCTTAGGGGCTATATACGGCTAATGCTACCCCGGGGGTATTATTAGGCCTAAGCGACAATTACGCCTTTACTACAAATACTATAGTTACTATTAGCGACTAGGTGTCTACGGCTCTTACTACTAGCACTCGGACTACTAATTAGGTTGTCGACTTAGGTACTAGTATATATATAGTTAACGACCCCTCGCTACTTATTAAATATAAAGGCTACTACATCCCTATCCGGTTTAGAGGCAATACGAAGCACGCTACGATAGTTAGCATAGCTTAGACAGAGGTTGTTAATAAGCGTAGTATAAGCAATATAAAGTTGTCTAATATACTATATATGCCTAGTCTAGTAGCTAACCTTCTATCTACTAAGAAGCTTGCTAATAAGGGTTGTTTCTACCGTAATAATAAGCGTATACTGTTTACGATAGTAGAGGGCAATAAGGTTACTATCGCTTAGACGTACTGTAAGAATAGTCTCCCCTACCTCTATATACTAACCTCTAGTCTAGATAGTAAGGTAGTTGCCCTTTTGTCGAAGAAGGGGGTGCCTATAGGTACTATAGATAAATAGCATCTGCGATATAGCTATATTTATTACTATAAGCTGCTAAGAATAGAATCTAAGGGTCAAATTGTTATTACTAGTGCTAAGAAGGACTTCCGCAACTGCATTGCCTATCGTATAGCTATATTATATAAGGAATACAATCGGCTGCCGCGCGTACGACTATCTACAATCTATTACATTGTCTGTATAGATATAGTTACTATTACTAACCCTAGTCTATTATAGGAACGCTACTTTACGCTGTTTATATACGCTAAGTTAGGCTATCGTTACGAGTATGCTAGCTTACTTAAGTTAGGGGCTGTAGTAGCTATTAAGGAATATCGTATATACGTCCGTATATAGACTAGTTACTCGATCCCGATCTACCGACTCGATAGAGGGGGTAAATACGGCGGAAATTAGTTATTAAGTTAGGCTCGTAATTAGGGCATTATACTACAAGTTATAGCACCTTACTCTTCGACTTAGAATAGCCTTACTAAGGTTAGCAATTATATCGTATATACGACTGCGAGAAAGATAATACTATAGGCTAACCTTCCTAAGTTCCTATAGCTATATACTATTGCCTCCGCTATATAGGTTCTTAATATTACGCTAACCGCTAACGGAGGAAGCCTATATACTATTGTCGCTAAGGAGCTTAATTAGTTACGAATACAGCCGCGTCTTTAGTACCTTCGAGTATATAGCTATACGTTAATTGCCTACGATTATAGTGTTGCTCGTAGAAAGAAGATAGATAGCAGAGGCCTAGTTAGCAAGCTAGTTAGCTATACTAAGGGCTCTATAGACTCCGGAAAATACATAATTTACCTGCCTAATTAGTATAAGGTTATCGCTTCTAAGGACGTCTAGTTTATTAAGTTAGGGGGTAACCTTAACCTCCTACTTCTAGATGGTATAAAGCTATATACTAATACTAACGACTTGTCTAAGAACGAGTTTGTTACCCTTGAGTCTATTATGCTAGCTTTGTTCAATTCTGTAAGTAACAAGGCTCTGTCGCCTACCGAGGCTACTAGTATAGTCTAGCCGCTTCTAGCTTAGTAGGAAGAATAGCCTATATAAGGACCTATATAGGAAATAGCTAATAAGGTCGCTAGTCTATTACCTATCGATAACGACCTTCTAGACGTTTAACTACTAGCTTCAAGTAATAAAGATAGCTTTTAGTTAGCTAAGGAAGAGCTAGTATATAATCTAAACGCTAAGAAGGGCGAGCCTAGCTAGCTGCCTAGGTTTAAGCGACTAGACAACGTTAGTAGTCGTTCTATACGCAAGACACGAAGCAATAAGAGCGCTCGTGAGCTGTTGCGTAGCTATCTAGCCGATTATAGTATTAAGCGGTCGACTCGACGTATAATAGCTAACATACCGATAGCCTATATTAAGGGTTTTACAGCTTCCTATTATATTGCTAAACAGTCTAACAAGCCTAAGGAGGCTATTCCTATTCCGAAGAGCTATAAGGAGGCTACCTAGTCGCTATATTAGCTATAGTAGAAAGAGGCCTATAAGGCTAAATACAAGTTGCTAATCGACAACTATATATAGGTATACGTTTCTCGGCTAGAAGTGCCTAGAGGTCGTAAGGTAGTTCGTAGCCGATAGGTCTTTACTATTAAGCGAGACGCTAATAGTAAAGTAAGCCGGTTTAAGGCTCGTTAGGTCGTCCGTAGCTTTATATAGGTTAAAGGACAGGATTATAACGAGACCTATACGGCTATCGCTAAGCCGTATACACTTCGAGCCTTGTTTAGCCTAATTGTATACTATAACTTAGAAGCTAAGTAGTACGACATTCTAATAGCCTTCCTTAATGCCCTAATTAGCGATAAGTATAAGATCTACGTTAAGTAGCTATATAGCTTTAAGGACTGTAGTAGCAAGGGCATAGTTTGCCTATTGCTAAAGGTACTGTATAGTCTAAAGCAGTTACTAATACTATAGTATAAAGAGCTTCGGAAGTACTTAAAGAGCCTAGACTTTGTACTAATAATAACTAACGTGTGTATGTTCAAACACGTTCTTAGCGGCTCGATTATCGTTATCTACGTCGACGATATAATTATTATTACCTATAGCCTATTAGTACTAGAGGCCGTTACTTAGTTACTAAAGGACCGTTTTAATATACGAGAACTAGGCGACCTATACTACTATCTCGGTATACGGATCATCCTTAACCGCGGTTAGCGCACTATTTACGTCGTTTAAGATGCCTATTTAAATAGGCTTAGTAAGAAATATAGTATACGTAGCCGTATCGGTCTAGCTACTCTAATAGCACCTCGCTATATTAAGACGTCTATTTAACGCGCACCTAAGGGCTATACAGCTAGTACCGCCTTTAAGACTTAGTATTAAGAAGGTATTAGCGAGGCGCTATAGCTAGCTATAATTATACGACCTAATGCTTGCTATACTATAGGCCTGTTATTACGATTTATCTCTAACCTAACTAAAGAACATTATACCGCACTCCTTTAGCTAATTAAGTACCTAGTTAGTACCCTTAGTTGTAGCATGCGTTTCTAAGGCATATAGAACGATAAGCTAAGCTTTGCTAGATACTATAACGCCTCGTAGGCTAATAATCTAGTTACTCGACGTTCTACTAGCGGATTCTACTTTACTATTATAGGCGGACCTCTATTGTATAAGTCCGGACGCTAGACGCTTATTATACTATCGTTAACTAAAGCTAAGTATATCTAACTTACTATAGGCGCTAAGGAGGCGATTGCCTTAGCTCGTTCCTTAAAGGAAATCGGCTATAAGGGCTACATTTTTCTAGTTACGCTCTATAAGGACAATTAGTCGGCTATCGCTATTACTAAGTCGACTAGCATTAATAGCTATACGAAGCATATAGATACTCGTATCTACTATATCCGAGAGAAGATTGCTAATAGCTCTATTATCGTTTAATAGGTTAGTATACACGATTAGATTACTAATAGCTTTACTAAGCTACCTAACAAGATTAAGCATAGCCGCTTTATTAAACAACTAAACCTAGTAGATTGCAAGGCTGCTATTAAGAGCGCTATAAAGCTAGCTACTAAGTACTAAGGAGGGTCTTGTTTGCTTTTGTTTGCTTTGTTTAAATAGCCTAGTCTAGTTATTCCCACTTACCTAATACCCCCTTGTTTGCTTTACTAACGAATAGCTATTGTGTTTCCTTTATTCTATAGCGATATATACGTACTAAGGGGGTAACTTAGAGTGTGTAGTATTAGGGTTCATTACGTACCTAATACCTAAGGCTGTAACTGCTATACTTTATCTTTAGGCTTTCTATAATTAGCCCTTCTTCTAAATACAATTATTAGTTACATTTAAGTAATGTATAAAGAAGGAATCGGATCGGCTTGCGCTAACTAGTAGAATAAGTACGCTACGTATAAGAATATGCGTTCTTATCTTCGCGCTAATCTCGCGCTAACCTAAACCCCGTTTACTATAGTCCTACTTCCCGGCTATATACGAAACTACGTAGTAGTAGCATACCTAGCGTTGTTTTAGACGAGAAGGGGAGAATATACGGCTCGGAGGGATAATTTGTTCTATCTGTCTTAACAGACTCGGCGCCGCTCGTGCTAGAATTATAGGATATCTAACTAGACTTCTTAAGGACGTTAATCGACTTATTATTCTAGAAGTAGAAATCGCTCTTTAGGATATTAGCTCGAGTACGGGCATAGCGACGGAGCTCTATATATACTAGATTGTTAATAGAGGGTTAGCTTCACTTTAGTCTATTGTCGCTTCCTGTTACGCCTTCCTTACTAACCTTACTATACCTATTATCGCGATAAACCTTACTTAGACTCGCTATACTTTCGCGCCTTGCTTTGTAATATTCTTCTTCTACCGATAGCGATAGCGATAGCGATAGCGATAGCGACACTAATAGTAGTAGCCGCTATAACTAGTATTCCGCGAGACCTTATTCTTAGCGTAGCTTTAGTAGCTTTAGCTTTAGCTTTAACTTTAGTAGTATACTTACTAGTAGAAGGAGGAGAATATTTATTATAAATCGCGAGGCACATCGCTATAGACTCGCTACTAACTCGCTCTAGACTTCGACGCCCTGCGACTATAAATACCTACGATTTCTAGTATTATAGCGCGTAGATATAGTAAGAGCTACTCGATTAAATAGTAATACCGGATAAGAAGAAGGCGGTATTAAATAGACTACGGAAATATAAGGCTACTAGACTTATTATAGAAACGGACTCTAGTAAGCTTATACTAGCGCTATACTACTACTGTATACGCTCTAACAACTTTAAGTATCGTATACTTAATAGTAAGGGCGAGCGTATCTACGCTTATTATAAGTATAAGGGTAAGTCTAGCTATATAGCTAGTATAGAAGAGGTTAAAGAAGACGATAGAAATAGCGAGCTAGCCGCGATATAGGCGCGAGTCGAGGCTATAGAGGCAAAGAATACTATATTAGAGGCAAAGATTAAGGCATTAGAAGCTAGGTTCGATAAGTTAGAAGAATATTACCTCTCGTAGTTTAAATAGCTTAAGAATAAGGCTATTATTAAGTCTAAGAATATATATACGATATAGAAGGAGCTATAGCTAAATAGCGATCGCGAGCTACTAGTAGATAATGTTTAAGGAGCGAGTCTGTAGCGAGTCTGTAGCGAGTCTATATTTTAATTTCCTATCTTCTTCGATCGTATCTCTATAGATAATAGATTAACTAGCTTCTAAGTACGCTTTAGCTTCTAACTCTTCTATCCGCTCTAACTATCTTACTAACTATATTACTAACTATCTTGCTAGCTATCTTGCTAACCTTGCTAGCCTTACTAACCTTACTAACCTTACTAACCTTACTAGCCTTCTTACTAGCTATCTTGCTAACTATCTTGCTAACTATATTGCTAGTCCTTAGCTTCGCTCGACTCTTTTAGAATAGGCGTAACTCGTAGTAGCCTCGCGGTGTCCTTACTGCTTAGGTTAATAAACTTAGGCGGCTTTTTTATATCGATTACCTTCTCCTTCTATAGCTTCTTTTACTTAATCTCTATAGATAGAACAACCCCGTCCTAACTCGCTATAGCACTCGCGCTACTACTCGTAGTAGGAGTACTTAGCCGGTACTTCCGCTTTAGTTACCTTTATTGCTATAGCTTCTACTATTATTAGATTAAATTTTAAGGTAATAGATTAGTAGCTACTTTATTGCTTTCCCTATTTGCGGTTTAAAGAGTATAAGAGCCTCTTTAACTAGTCCTAGGCCGAGTGCTTTGGATGCGACTTTATCTAGTAATAAGCGCTTATTATCGAAATTAGTATAGAAGAAGTGCTCCGTATAGTCGTCGACCTAATAGACGCTACCTTATAGTAGGTCCTTAGCGTTAATCCGACTAAGAACCTAGTCTATAAGTAATATATTAGCTTCTTCGAAGTCTTTATTAGACTAGATATTAGTAATAGAAGTCTATAGAACTAGCTAATTATATTCCTATAGGTCGACTCTACCTCTATAAGAAACCTCTACTCGCTAGCTAAAAACTAAATAGCGGTAGGTAAATAATACCTTTATTAGCTCCTTTAATGCTTATATAGGTATTAGTAGACGTTGCGAGAGGCTCCGAGATCTAGCATTTAGTCGAGAAGTTAGCTTATACTACTAAATAGTAGTATTGCGTATAGTATTCGCCGCCTTAGGTAGAGAAGGGAACGTATTAAAGCCTCGTACTATACTCGTAGTTAAACTCGTAGTAGCAGCAGCGGTAGTAGCTGCTACTACTAACGGCTCGCGTACAAATCGCTCGGTTAGTAGATTAGGGTTCTTAAGACTATATTAGTTATAGAATACGTATGTTTTTAATAGTGTTATATAGTTAGCGCCGGTAATAGTATAAAAGGTACCCTAGATAGGCATTATTAGTAGTAGAACTAAGGTAGAACAAGATAGGAATCAAAAGATTAAAAAGTAAATAGAACTAAAATAAGCGACTTGCGGCCGGCTCGCGGCCGGCTCGTAGATCCCTTATTTTAGATTAGTATATATTATTTGCAAACTTAATTAATCTAGCCCCGGTATTCGCCCTACCTAACGTCTAATTACGAGCTGCTAATAGCTTGTCTAACTCTATTAGTTTAGGCCCTAACCCTATAGCTATATACTCGGCAATTAGCTATCGAAGAAGTAAGTATATATTACGAGTAAGTAACGCGTACGCAGATGCTAGACACAAGACCTAATAGGTTCGATAAAGAGCTAGGTCTATCTACGTAAATCCGAATAGTTTTGTGCGGTACGCTAAGCGCTAAGTAGTAGGTTAGAGTCGCGTAGGCCGAATGCCTAAGGCTAGCGCTTTCTACCTAGGGCGTAGCCCTTTATATTACCCCCGTCCTCCTCCCCTTCTATCGCGGTTTCTATCGCTATTACTTTATCTATTAGATCTGTACCTATCTAAGCTTCTCTAAAGTAACGCGCTCGTAGTATCCTCCCTTACAATCGGGGTTTCCGCTACTTTCCGGTCGGGGTTACTATATCTTAGGCTTTAAGGGCTATAACTTTCTTCGCGACTACTAAACCGCGCTCTTTTACCTACTTACCGCTTCCTAAAACGCGCCTTACTTATACTCGCGCCTTCCGTTGCCTTCGCGACCTTTACTTCTATATCGCTTTCTATAAGTATTAATATTTCTCTCTTCTTCGTCTTCTTCCTCTTTTCTCTATATATACCTTTACTACTACTACTACTACTACTAATACCGTAAGTCCCTCCCCTTCCTCCTTAGTTCCCTTCGTAAAATTAACTTGTCTTAGATAGCTCGTCGAATTTACTACGTTAGTTGCTATAACTCCTACGAAGACTGCGCCGACTAATCTATAAGGTTCCCGTCCGATTTGTCGTAGGGTCCGCTAACTTTTCTTAAGCCCGCTAGCTCGAGGGCTTGCGCTAATTACGCTCGTAAGAGAATTGCTTACGCCCTACTATAGGTTATCGCGATTCTTGTACCGAATCTCTCGCTAACTATTTAGTCCTTAAATAGCCTACGTAGCCTACGCTAGCTATACCCGCGCGACCCGCGCTAATATCGCTAAGAAGCACTCCGAGCTTCTTAAGGTTCTTAAAGTATAGAAAGCTCTTAAGTCTCTCTAGCTGTAGGGGTTATTATCTAGGTAAGATTCCCCGTTTCCCGCGATAAAACCCTCGCTAACCGTTTGTTTTAGCGCTATCGCTTCGGAGGTAACGAATACCGTCGCTAATATCGTAGCTTAATAGACTTAGACGTAAGTTCCTCGCTACCCTTCGACTTTCTCTTACTAACCTCTCTTTTTTAGTAGCGTTCCGACTGCCCTCTACCTCGGTAATAATCGTCTAAGTCCGCTAGAGGAGTAAAGGTTTCCGTAGGTTTTCTAGTAGGCTCTAGGTAGTTTCGGATATGTTATTATTATTTTTGTTATAGTCCTAAGGTAACCTTCTAATTTCGGGCGGAGACCCGATACTTACTTATAAATACCTAAATAAAATTCTTCTTAACTCTAAATTGTGTTTCTCTTCTCTAGTGTTCTAGTAAACCTAAGTCTAATAAGTTAGTAAGAAAATCCAAACTCTAGAAGTTAGCAAAAGTCCCTAGAATCTGTAAACCCGTTACTCCGTAGAAAAACTCTAGGTTACCGCGTTATTTCTTCCGTTTTCCTCTCTTCTCCTAATTTCCTAGAGGCCCGTCGTTCTCCTCGATTTGTCTATATTTCGCTTCGAAGTCGTCTAGCGCGGAGGTATCCGTAATATTGTCTAGGGGTTCCTATATAGGTTTATAGTACCCGCTCTATTTTACGAGTACTTCTCGCCCTCGGCCCTACTTCTTTTTCCGGGTATATAGGATTTCTTCGACCTACTACTCTTTATACGTCTCGAATAAGATAGGGTCCGGCTATTCGTCGTTAGTTACTTACCCTAGAAGGGGGTCCCGGCTCGTAAGTCTTAGAAGGTCGGTATAGAATATCGGGTAAATATTACTAGGTATCTTTAAGAGTTATACTAAGATAGGCGATAATACCTCTTCTACCGTATACTTAGCGTACTTCGAGTCGAGGCTCTTCTTTAGTCTACCGGTCTAGTAATTCCTTAGGTTGAGCTAGACCTTATCTCTAATATAATATACCGGCGCTAGAGTTCTAGTCTTGTTCGCGCTATCCTCTTGTTTCTATACGGCTTCCGCTATCTATACTTAGTACAGATCTAAGATCTTCTTAATCTTGTCTACGAACTCCTCCGCCCGTTTCGCTATAGTTAGCTATCTATCGATAGCTAAGTCCTCTTCTAACGTAACGGGGGAGGTAGATTCGTAACTATAAGTCGCGAAGGCGGAGCTTGTTCCTAACCCCGCTTAGTATCTCCCGTTAAACGCTAGTTCTACTATAGGAAGCTATTAGTTCTAATCGGACTATATCTAGTTAATATAGTTCTATAGGTAAGCTTATATATCTTAGTTTACGCGCTCCGGACCCCTATCGGTTTGTAGGTAGTAGGCGGAGCTTAACCTCTACTTTACGCTAAGTAGTCGATATATCTCCCTCTAGAAAGTGCTTATCTAATTCGTATCTCTATCGCTAGTAATAGTACGAGGTAGTCCGTAATACCTAACCTAGTATTTTAGAAATAAAACCGCGCATTCCTCTACTTTTATAGAGAGAGTACCGATAAGGGCAATCTATTTACTAAGGCGGTCTTTAATTACCTATAGATACTAGTTCCTATCTAACTCCGGTAGGTTAGTTATAAAGTCTATCGAAATTTCCTAGAAGAAACGGTCGGGTACCGGTAGTAGTTTTAGGAGGCTGTGTTTATATTCCCTCTATACCTTATTACGTCTATAATAGTTACAGTTCCGTAGGAATTGCCGTACCTGCTTCGACTATAGCGGCTAGTAAAAGTCGCGACCTAGTATAGAAGTAGTAGAATCCCGGCTAGGGTAGCCGTAGAGTAGCGAGTTATAGATCGACTAGATAATCTTCGTATATAGTATATCCTACTATAGTTCCTCGGCCTCTATATCTTTATTTTCGGTTTCTGTCGTCGCTAGGGCTCCTAGAACCTAGAGCTTACCGTAGTAGCGAAGGAACCCCTTAGGATCTATTATATAATCCCCGATCTAAATTTTTACTTTAATTTCCGGTTGTAATATTCTACTTCCCTTACGGACTTTCCGTACTACTATCTAGTATACCGTATCTTTCTCGATAATACTCTTCTATATATCGTTTATCTCTAGGTCCTAGAATAGTTTAGCGCTTTCTAGCGAAGGCTACGCGGGCTCCGTTTCGTTCGCGAGTAGGGATAACGGGCTCGCCTTTATTATACGCGGGAAGCTACGGATAGTAGTACTAGAAATCTAGACGTTTTCCGGCTAGTTTAGAGAGAGGTCCGGCTCTAAGAATCTCCGGAACCTCGAAAGCTTATCGTCTTAGCCTAATGCATCTTATTCTCTCCTCGATAAGGTATCTAGTAGGATAGCTTCGATTCCCGGCCGGTAGACTAGGGTAAACTAGTACTTCGCTAGTTCTTCCTACTATCGGATCTATCTTTCGGATAGCTAGCGCTTTACTATAAAGTATTCTAGGTTCTTATAGTTCGTCTAAATCGTAAAGGGGCTATATAATTTTAGCTCGGAGTCCTAAAACTTAATACTAGATACGACTACGAGCATTTCCTTATCGTAGATATCGTAATTAATCTCCGCTTTATTTAGTTTCTTCGAAAAGAAACCTACCGGTCGGCGGATCCCTGCCTTTTCTTAGATAACTTATAAGAGCGCCCCTAATCGCGAACTCGCTATAATCCGTCTTAAGGAAAGTAGGAAGAGACGGGTCCTACTAGGTAAGTACCGGGGCGCGGTAGAATTTATCCTTTAGCGTCTTAAACGCTTTGTCCTATTCTTCTCCCTAGGAGAATAGGGTTCTCTTACTAGTAAGCGCGGTTAATAGTACAGAGATCTTAGAATAGTTCGGTACGAATATATAGTAGTAGTTCGTAAATCCTAAGAAACGACGAACTTCCTTTTAGGTCTTAGGCACTACCTATTTTTATATAGCTTCTACCTTTTCGGGGTCGGCTAATACTCCTCCTCCGTCGGCATAGACGACAAATCCTAGGTACTTAATCTTTTTCTAGGCGAATTCGCTCTTTTTAATATCGAGGTAAAGGCCTCCGTCCTAAAGCTTCTTAAGAACCGCCCTTACCTTACGGAAATAGTCTTCCCTCGACCCGCTCGAGTAGACAACTACGTCGTCTATATACGCTAATACGAAGTCGTCTAGATACTCCCGTAAGAGAGCATTAATATACCGTTAAAATATAGCCGGGGCTCCGGACAAACTAAATAGGTATACTAGCTATTCGAACGAGCCTAGCCTAGTCCGGAAGGCCGTCTTATACTTGTATCCTTTTACTATTCTAATCTTATAAAAGGCCGAGACTACGTTAACCTTAGTTAACTACCGGGCCTCTGTTAGGTTCCTTATAGTATCCGGGATTAGTAGGAGGGGATATCTATCTTGCTTCGTTAGAGCGTTAAGCGCCCTATAGTCGTAGTAGAACTAGAGCCTACCGCTAGGTTTCTTAACGAATAATACGGGCGCCGCCGCTTCGGAGTTCGCGGATCTAATAAATCCCTTCTTTAGGAGTTCGTTAAGTAACTTTCGTAAGACTAAAAGCTCCTATTTCGATATACTATAGAGCGGGCTCTAGGGGAGCTACGGCTAGGATTTGTCTAGGTTTTTACGGAGTTCTATTATATAGTCGATACTAGGGCGATAGGGCGCTAACTTATCGGCTTCCTTTTAATAAAATAGCGTAGCTATATTACGAACCTCCGGAGGTAGCTTTTTCTTTAGCTCCTCGATCGTCGGATATTCTTTCGTCTTTAGGGCCTTTTTAATATCCTCGGTAATTGTAGCGGTAAGTAGGCTTCTAGTAGCGTCGATCGTAGCGATATTCCCGCTTATATCGAATTCGCGGTAGTAATACCCTTCGTTAACCTAATACCGGGCCCTTCTATAATAGTACCGACGCTTTTTAGGTATAGTCCTAACCTTATTATATACCTTCTATAGGTTCCTAGGATAAGAGGGAAGGTTAATCCCGGTACGACGTAAGTATATACTATCTACTAGAACCTATTAATTTCTATCTAGAAGGCGACGACTCCGACAATCTTCGCGTCCTATATCGTAGACGACGCTCCTTTTACTTCTCGGGACTCTCGGCTAATATAGCTAAGCCCGAGGCCTCTAGCTAGGCCCGTATTAATCGTAGCGTAGTACTAGTATCCTTCGTCGATAAGAGTAGAAGTTCCGACGTTATTTTCGAGGACTATATCGGTATATATAAGGTTCCCGTTTATATCCTTTTTAACTTCTTCCTATTTCCTTACCCGTACTTTATCTACTCTCGACTCCTAACTCTAAGCGAGAGTTATTCTTTTCCCGAGTCGGAACTGCTTAAGTCCGACTATTCCTCTATATCTTCTAGTATAGGTTATACGGAGGTAACGCTAATCTTAGCAGGTTAAACCGGCGGTACGTACGGGTAGTCGCGAATATAGTATCCGCTCGCTCTATAGCGAAAGTAGAGCCTTTTCTTTTTACGTTTCTCTCTCTCTATAGAGTCGACCTATTTAGCTCTAGGCTTCCCTACTATTCTTTACTAACCTCCGCGGTTCTTCTTATAGAAGGCGTTTGTTTAGGCGGGGTTTATAACTACGTCCCTATCGGAGTCGACCTTCGGGTTCGCTATAGGAGCTATATAAGGTAGGATAACTACCGAAGAGCTCGCGGTCTCCTTCTTCCTTTCTTACTAGCGTTTCGTAGCCTATTTAAACTAGTCCGTCGATTCGAGGTTCGTTATAATTTGCTCGACTTCCTCTATATAGAGGTAGTAATCCTTAATCTTTAGTATAGCGGCGGCACAAGTCTTAGCCGCGTTCGAGAAGGTATTCTTTAAGTATCCGATTTTTGTATCGTCGGTCTAGCGGTCTCTGCCTACGCTTAGTAGAAGGCCGTCGAATTCTAGCTATTAGTCGTACTAGGGTTGTCTCTAAGCACATCCTAGGGCTTAGAGTTGCTCTAGCGCCTTAGCGGCTTCGTTACTATCCGCGAATACGTCCTTAAGTTACTAGAAGAAAGCCTTAGGGTCCTTTCCTTTCGTAAGGCTTCCTCTTTCCTAGAAGTAGCGTATTCTAGCGCGTTCCTTCGCCGGTAGGGTATCGTAGATAGTATCCTAGTAGTAATCTTCGGAGAGCTTCGGTTTTAACCTAGAACGAACTCGGTACGAACTTCTTAGTCGTAGTAGGTAGTCCTAAAACGTCTTAGCTTTTCTATCCTACGATAGTAGCTTCTATTCGCGTAACGCCGTTACATTTTAGCTAGTAGCCGAGAGGGTTTCTAGGAGTCCTTTTAGGATCTCGTTCGTAGACTAGTCTCGCGTCGTAATGTTTTCGGTAGACCCGGCCTAGCGAGATACTTCCGCCTATTAGAGCGTAGAGCGCGTAGCTTATAGCTAGGCTTCTATTGTCTATTACCTAGTATAGAGACTCTCGAAGGCGCGATAAATCTTATCCCTAGTTATCTCTAGCGTAGTAGGGGCAGCGTTCCCCTAGCCTTCTTACTCGGGTTCCTAGTAAACCTTAGCGTTTCCTATAACAAAGATCGAACCTAACATTACGGACAAGTAACGCGTACGTAGATACTAGATATAAGACTTAATAGGTTTAATAAAGAGCTAGGTCTATCTACGCAAATCCGAATAGTTTTATACGGTGCGCTAAGCGCTAAGTAGTAGGTTAGAGTCGCGTAGGCCGAATACCTAAGGCTAGCGCTTTCTACCTAGGGCGTAGCCCTTTATAGTATACCTAGCGGTAAACTCGCTCTCTATCGCTATTATTCTCGCTACTACTAACTAGATACGAGAAGCCGCGAGTCTGTGATGCTGTCTTATACTAAGTAGGCGTAGCCTCGGGCAGGTAGGCTTTAAGATCTAGGAGCGAGTCTATTAGCGAGTCTATAGCGAGTACTATAGAATCTAATATATACCGAATCCTTAAAGGTCTTCCTCTATATTATTAAGTACGCCGTTAGGTATAGGAATACCTTAATAAGAATGCCCGCTTAGCTCTAGATAATAGTATAGAATATACGGAATACCTAGTACGACGTATAGTCGATTAGCCTACTTCCTAATCCGATAGCTATTCTAGAGGTAAATAAATTCGAGGACTTTATAGCGTATAATTAGTATATAGACTATAAGGAAGGCAATCCGATCGGCTAGCAATTTAGTATCGTATAGTAACTCGCGTAGCAACTTGTAAAAATAGCCCCTCTAGCTATTTAATATAGGTGCTTACTAGCGCTACTATACCTCGATCCGCTAGTTTATCTTACTTATACTGTATTTAAAGCAGTCTTCGAAAGCTAGTAGTTCTAGTTCTAGTTCTAGTTCTAGTTCTAGTTCTAGGTTACTACGAGTCGTAAGGCGAGTCGTATAGTAAGCGTCTACGGCTAGAATCGTTTCCGCTCTACGGTCTAATCGAATAATCTATAGTATTATACTACTATTCTTAATCGTTGTAATATATTAAGCGAGTACGGATATAGCTATACGGCTAGTAATCCCTACGTAGACCTAGATAATATAACGCGAGTAGATATTAATAGCTACGTAGATCTATATTCCCTAATACTCGAATTTATAGTAAGCATCTATTAATATTACGTAGCTAGGGCCTAGTATAATAATCGCTCTATAGTGCTCTCGCGCCCGCTTATAGCGGACTCGCAACCCTTTAGGATTTAGTAAGTAAGCTATACGATATAGCCGATCTCTACTAATAATATTATATTTAGACCTAATATAGGTATATAGGTACCGTTAGCCGAAGGACTCTACTATAGACTTCTCGAGCTCTTCCTATAAGACCTTTACTATCTCCTCTTCTACTTCTATCTATCTATCTTATAATAATACCTTCTTTAAATTTTAATTTAAGCTTTTAACGTATCCGTTAATATCTCCGCTAGCTAATATTAAATCTATCTATCTTTAGTACTTTAACCGCTTCTTTATTAGTTAAGCGTAAAGCGGAGAAGGTATATACGACTCGGATTTTTAGTACCTCGATATTATTAACTCGGTTATAGTAAGCGTAATAGCTATAGTTAACCCTCTATTCCTTAAGCCTCCGATAAAGCGTAGAAAGAGCTATCTAGTAACTAGTCTCTTATATAAGGTACTATAGGATTTCGCCTTATATAGTACCGCTATTAACTTATAAGATTATCTAAGCCCTTTATAGCGAGAGATCGATATATAGAGGCATTTTGCGAGTTAATAGCGAGTATAGTGCGAGGGCAAATATAGAAAGTTAGTCGTAGAGGTAGGTTAGTAGAGGCGGTAAGAACCTCTATTAACAATCTAGTATATATAGGCCTCCCTACATAACTCGCCCGAGAAACACCCGTGCGCGAGCTTGCCGCCTAATCTTTCGGGAACAAGTTGATATGCAATCTGTATCTGTCTAAAACCGCCATGCAGCATTGATTCTAATCGTAACATCGCCACGAGCTTCTCTAGTAGCCGAGGAGGATGGAACGGACAATCAATACACGCAGCTCCTGAAATGTCCATCACTTGGCGGTCACTGGGTGCTTGAACGGTCAACACAACTTGTCCTCGTTTATTAGCGCCGTTTCGAAACACTTTCTGGTGCCAAGCACATATAAGTCCAACCTGGAGAGTCTCTCGGCTCGCGGAAGGTCCACCATAAGGACGTACTCACTGCTACGGAAGATTCAGATCAATATCGCCTTCTAGATTACTATGAGTCTCACCGTCTGACTTGGCATTTCGCTCCATACTATGTGGCACACCATGCATTTTGCTCTATTCTATGCGGCACGCCATGCCATCTTGGTTTCTCCGGCGACGTCAGCCACTCACTCATCGTACGAAAAAGATATAATATCTCCTCCGCATGGCACATGGCGATGTTGACTACATTCCACCTTCGTTGATCGAGGCCAATCACTCATTTTCTTTGCATCTCAGAGCCAAGCGCATCACATTCACTTCTCGCCGTCGACATGCAGATCCGGAAAATCACACTCCTGGCTTCGGCCATCTCTACGGCCACTGCCCACTACACGTTCTCTCAGCTCGTCGTCAACGACGAGCTGGTCGGCTCTGACTGGACGTACATTCGCGAGCACACTCGTGGCTACATGCCAACCAAAGGCAGTGAGATCCTGGAGAACGACTTTCGCTGCCAGCCTGGTGGAGCCTCTGGTGCAGGTACCGACGTCTACAGCGTGAAGTCAGGAGACAAGATCGCATTGAAGCAGGCCTTCGGCGGTACCGGCATGGAACATCCAGGTCCAGTTCAAGTCTACATGAGTAAAGCACCTTCCGGAGACGTCAAGAGCTACGACGGAAGTGGCGATTGGTTCAAAGTCAGCGAGCAGCTCTTGTGCTCCAGTCCTGGCAACGAAGCCATTCTCGACAACGCCTGGTGCACATACGGTGAAGACCGGATCGAGTTCACCATGCCATCGACCATTCCCGACGGTCAATATCTGGTTCGCGCCGAACACATCCCTCTTCATGGCGCCCACGTCGGAGAGGCGGAATTCTACTACGCTTGCGCCCAGGTCGAACTCGCTGGGGGATCCAATGGCTCCGCTCCTTCACCAACCGTCAAAATCCCTGGTGTCTACGCTGTTGACGATGCCAGTATCAACTTCAGCATTTGGGGAGCTGATATCACTGAATATCCAGACGTCCCTGGCCCAGAGGTTGTCTCAGGAGGCCAAGTCCGTGGTAGCAAGGACGGATCTTCTGATGCTATCGTCAAAGTGGCCAAGCGTGCCCTCGTATCTGCACGAGGTCTTGCAGCAAGAGCCGGGGCAATTGTCAGAGGCTGAGCGAGAGACATGGGCTGTGGCCAGACCTCGCGATCTGTTATCATTTCGATTCACGCACTCTTTTGCTCGAGCAGCTGGACTTTGAGCTGTACACTTACTCTCACTTGTATCTTAGTCGTACTTTTGGCATTGCACCGTTGAAAATTTACACTTATATCGGCGGGGATCTTCATTTTGGTCATTAGTCCTTGTTGTTCGTGTTGCAGTGTGCGTTTGTCATCTGCTTTCCCGCGAAGTCTTCGTGATCACTTCCCCGAATTTCAAGAGCACAAGTTGAACACATGTTCTGCTCAGCGCGGCGATCAAACTGCAATCGAACTTCGCTTAGCTATTTGAAACATTCTCAGGTGTATGTATACTGACCAAGAATGCGAGAGTGGTGAACGGTGTGCTGAAGCTACTTTGAATTCAACTTCTTGGTTAGTATACGTGCACCTTCTTCGACGCTTCTGCCTTCGTTCCCTCTAGCCGCTTCGGAATGAAATACGAGGCTCTTTGGAGGCTAGTATTGCGGTATTCAGAAGTGCGCGCCATGCGGTCGGAGGACCGATTTTCAGTTTCTGCCGGCTGCTACTGTAATTAGTTAGCAACTTGGCGTTCTTGGCAGGCCAATTCTCTACCACACTATACTTTCATGAATTTCATGTTGTCGCTATTTCTATGGTATAGACCCTTCTAAGGTGTTGTTAATAGCGCGCCTACCTAACGATTAGCTTAATAAGATAAAGCGCTTCTTCGACGAAGGCTACCTGTCTAATAATAGCATTGCCGACCTTATAAATATTGCTAGGCGCACTATAGACAAGCTCTATAATAACTACGAGTTATTTAGCGTGTTCTATATGCGTGACCTCGTAAAACAAGGGCGTCTACGGAAGCTACTACTAATCTATAAAGATATATATATTTCCGGCTCTTTAAGGTGCCTATAACTAATCCGCCTATTCTCTAGCGTATTCTCGAGTTCCTTAGCGATCGACCGACGGCGTACTAAGATAAGGTAATATAGTATCTATATAACGAGTTTAGCGTTATCGTAAGCTAGCCGACAATATCGCGTATATTAAAGGAGCGCCGATAGACGAGGAAGAAGGCTTTTCGTATCGTATATAAGTAAAATAGCGAGTTGCGCGATAACTTTAGGATATAGCAAATAAGTGTATCGCCGGATAAGGTAGTAACGGTCGACGAGAGTGCCTCGAATAAGCGTACCGGGTAGCGGAAGTATAGATACGGTCCTATTAACCGTCTAATCTACGAGGAAGGTAGCACTATACGGTCGAAGAGATAGAGCGTTCTACCTACAATCGGGGTTAATAGATACCTTCAAGGTACGCTTATTTATTAAGGCTCTATTACCGGATTGATATTCGAGTACTAGTTAAAGCATACCGTTCTTCCGTAGATAGAGCTAGGTATAGTATTAGTTATAGATAACGTATCAATTTACCGTACCGATAGTATTAAAGAAGCGTGTCGACAAGTAGGTATATACCTAAAGATGCTACCGCTATACTTACCGGACTTCAATCCTATTAAATTGTCCTTCTCGTTACTAAAGGCATAGGTTAAGAAGAACATCTACGAGGCTAACTACTTTATAGACTTCGGTTAGTTTATAAGACACGCTATTAACGAGTTAAATACTAAACAGTACGTAGAAGCGTAGTTTTAGAAGGCAGGTTGGAGATATTAACTATACTACACTTAATGTCGTATAGACTCGCTTATGCTAATAACTACCTCTAGCTTAGTAATACGGCTTTTCAACTCCTCTATTTCCTATCTTATTCCTTCTATAACGGCACGCGTAGTATTAGTAGTAACCTCCTTTATTATTGCTTCTATATGCTATAGATCTAGCAATACTAGCTATAGCGATAAGCCTCTTAAATTAATAGCTAACGGTAATGTAGTAGTCGGCGATATAGTAGTAGTATCTCGTATAAGGTCCTCTTCTTCTTAACTGTCGACAATCTACGAGGAATTAGTCGAATCTATACCGATACCTAATCGATATACTTCTAGTACGCTACTAGTAGCTATCGCGATTAAGGAGCCTAGAATTTAGTAGGGATTGAGCCGTTTCTATCGCAAGCGTTACCTCGAGTTTATTTAAGGTAGTGCCGTTAGTATATCGCTATATTCGTATTACGATCGAGTAGCGGTCCGGAGAGTATAGCTTCGAAAGCCGGAATCTATACTAACCGATAGGGTACTAGCACAACACTACTATAATACATCTTTATTATCTCCTTAGCGGGCAAAAATACTACTAACGTCGCTAGACAACCTCCCGTTGTCCGTTTTAAAAAATATACACTTGTAATGTAGATATAGGCTCGGTAATATATTGAAAATTCGCGACTTCCGACTGAATCTCTATACCGAGACTACCGAAATTTCGGCTTCCGCTCGGCGGTTTAGCTTAGCGGGTCCGGACTTAAGAAGCTGATTTTAACAACACTAACTCGATACTAGCGCAACACTATAACGCATTGTTTTTTATTACTATAAGTATAGAGAGCCGAGTCTATATCTATCTAATATACCTCTAATTTATACTATACAAAAATACGTAGTGTTAGTTAAATAAGAAGCAACTTTAGTTAAGCCGAAAATTAGCTTCTAAGCTATCGTCCTATAACCGAAAATCTACCTCGCTTCTACCCTAAAACGGCGCTTCTATAGCGCTTCTACGGCTAATTAACGAACAGACTATTACTGTCTTCGTTAATACGATATAGTCGCTATTTACGAGCCTGTTTACGTATATATCGACCGACCGTAGCGACAAACCTAGTATATTGGCCTTCTTTAAGTCTACGGCTAGTCTAATGCCTTAGTTTAACCGCCTTTAGCTGTTTGATTAAGTAGTCGCCTTCCTCGTAGACACGCTTAATCTTATCGATATCGTCTTGCCGCTTACTCTAGCTACTAGTCAACTCTTCTCGCAACTAGTTAAAGAAGCTCCTTAGCTCTATATCGGCCGTATGCGACTAATAGGAAGCGACTAAGCCTAGAAATAGACTAGATGGCATAACAGTCGTTAGACTAGACGTCGGTAGTAGACTAGAGCTACGAGACCGCTTCCGCGGAGCCTACTAACCCTACTAATTGCTATAATAGTTATAGATTACAATAGGGGTTGAGGAGCTAATAGCGGCTATTCTAGCAGTCCGTAGAGTCTTAAATAGATTAGCTAACTGCCTGCCGCGGTTCTTCTACATTTTAGAGGCTAGTGCTAAGCCTAGATCACTAATAGATAGGCGCCCTTCTTTAATACCCTTAATCTAGCGGCTAGCAACTTCCGGATAGATCTTATAGTAGTCCTTAGCTCTATCCGGACCGCTAAACTAATACAAGCCGCCCTTGTTAAGGCAGTATCTATTCTTATAAGGCTAGCGCTTTAACAACTCGTAGCGAGCGTTAGTTAATAAGCCGATTAAGGTAGAGTTGTTATCGTCGGCGGCTCTAGTTCCTTCCGAGGTATTAGATTAACCCTTAACCTTAGCTTAGCTAGCGTATAAAGCGTCCAATTGCTGTTAAGTTGCTATATTACGAGGTGCGACTATTCTACGGTTACGACGACCCTGCGCCTACGAGGCTCTACTTAGCTCTATAGTTGTTGTCGCCGTTGTCTTCCGCCGCTCGATAGTTAGTTTAAAGTCTAATCTTAAGCCCTTCCGGCCTTGCGAGTACTAAGAGCCTAGCATGTCGTACGTACGTTAGAAATTGCCCTTCTAGACACTAGTGCTACGGAAATAGTGCTCTGTCTTAATCTTGTCCGCTAAGGCGACAATCTCTAAGCTAGCTAACTTATAGTCGTCGTCGTTAGAGCTAGTATTACGCTAGTTAGCGTACTAGGCATAGAATGCCTTATAATAGGAGTCGCTATTGCCGTTAACCTTACGAGGAAAGTACTTAGTCGAGAGTAGCAACCGTATATTAGTTAGATTAACTATTGTCTACTGTAATACGTACTCGAAGACCTCTAACTCTTACTCTACGGCTTTATCTTCTTCTTTAGCTAAGATATAGTCCTCGTCGTCTATACTAGTTTGCTAGGTTTACTAAGTATCTGCTAGCAACTCGTCGTCTGTAGAGCCTTCGCCTTTACCTTTACTTAGCTCAACGGTTAGCTCTCGGCGGCGCCTCTTATTAGTGTTGCTAGTCGATTGCTATACAAGAAGGGCCTCCTTCTTCTTCGAGGAAGGCTTCTACGGTCGTTTAGAAGCTCTTAGCATAGCGACAGCTAGTTAGCGGCTTCCGGATTGGCCTTGTTCTTAACCTTAATCGTTACTAGAGTGCGTAAGTAGGCAGTAGTAAGAAAGGCTTTCGTTCCGTCCCTAGATTGCTACCTATTTTGTATAAGGAGAGTAGGTCTACGGAAAAACTATAGATACGCGAAAGTTACGAGGTCTCCGCGCATAGCGCGCACTTCTAAATACTACAATAGGGACGCCTAGCGGCTGTTAAGCAACACAGTACTATATTTGATTTAGGTAGGCCTAAAACACGATTCGGTATGCTCGGCTTTATAACTAGGTTGGTTACTCAATCTAGCTATCCCCTAAAGAAACTCGTATATACGCAGCATTCGTAGGGTAAACTAGGATTCTAGCAGAGTTCCGATACAAAATACGGCTGTGCCAATATACAAGGCAGATCAGACCAACTAGAATCCCTTAGATTTTCTATATATATAACCTAAGACTGCGATAGAGACATAGAGTATTAAAAATGTGCTCCTAGGCGGCTAGCGCGTGCCTAGAGGAGTGCGAGCGAAGCTTTCGCCTTATATATACTAAGCTAATTCGGTTCTTTAGACCTCGAAGCTAGACCTTGAAGCTATTACTATTATTATACGATTTAGTTCTATTAGAATAGTTTATTAGGAATAAGTATTTTTATATTTTTGTATTACTATTTTTCTTTTCTAGTATTTTAGATACTACTTTATTATTTTTAACTTTATATATATTACTTACTTTTATTCTAGTTTTCTCTAATTTTTTATATCTATTACTACTTTTTATATTATTAAAAAAACTATTTTTAATTTTTTTCTTTAATGTTTTACAGTTTTTCTATTTAGTATCTTACTTGTTTTACTTACCTATTTTATATTTTCTTATTTATTTTTATTATATGTTTTCTTTTTTCTAATACGTCTAAGTCCTCTTATTTATATCCTTATTTATTACTTGTTTTCTATCTTACTACTTAGTTTAGTACTAGCTTATTATTTAGTCTATTAATTAGCTTATTATTTAGTTTATTATTTACTTTGTTCTCTAGTTTTTTATTTAATCTATTATTTGCTTTATTATTTAGTTTCTTCTCTAGTTTATTATTTACCTTCTTTTTAACTTTATTATAAGTTATTTATTTACTAGAATATAATTTATTTTATTAATTGTTTAACTAATTGTTTAACTAATTGCTTTACTAATTGTTTAATTAATTATTTAATTAATTGCCTTACTAATTGTTCTACTATTGTTTTATTCATTGTTTTATTAATTGTTTTGTTAATTGTTTTGTTAATTGTTTTGTTAATTGTTTTGTTAATTGTTTTATTTATCGTTTTATTAATTGGTTTATTAATTGTTTTGTTAACTGTTTTGTTAATTGTTTTATTAATTGTTTTGTTAATTGTTCTATTAATTGTTTTATTAGTTGTTTTATTAGTTGTTTTATTAGTTGTTTTGTTTGTTGTTTTGTTAATTGTTTTACTAACTAGGATAGTACCCGTACGTAAGTACTTCTGCTCCTTCTACTTACGTAGTAATAGCGGTAGCGCCCGCGAGTTTTTAAATTTTATATATACCTAGTATAGCGGAGCCGCGAATTTTAGGGTTCCTCGCTCTTATTCTCGCTCTCGTTCCTTTAATATTTTTCGGTAATTTTATAAATTTAAATCGTATGTTTTCTATAATTAAAATTAATTTTTCTATAGGTTCTTTTATTAAAAGTTGTTTTATAAATTCTTTTATTAATGTTTTAGTTAATTTTCTTATTAATTTTCTTATTAATTTTCTTATTAATTTTCTTATTAATTTTCTTATTAATTGTTTGTATATTTTACTATATATTTTACTATATATTTGAAGTATTAGAAGGAAGGCAAAAGGCTTTACTAGCGGTTGTTCGGGAAGTCGGCGGTTGTTCGGGAAGTCGGCGCTTGTTCGGGAAGTCGGCGCTTGTTCGGAGATACCGGCGCTAGCTCCGAAAGTCTCCACCGTGTAGAATCCAGCCAATCAGGTTGCGGGATTTCCAAAATCCGGGGTTGGCTTGGCGGTCACGCGTGACAGGATAGGGGATTGGCGACTATAGCAGAGCTTGTTATGTAAGGCGAGCTTCGCTCGCAATGACTACACTCCTTCGTGCCACTTATTCATATGTTTTTCCTTCAATTGCTTCTAACACGGTCTGCATAACGGACTTTGCCTCCCCCAAACCATTATGAAGCTCCGCAACGCAGCTCTCTTCGCGTGTCTCGCCTCTACCATCACAGGCCTTGCATTGAGCCATGGCCATAGCCGCTATACCGTAGCACGCAGAGCTTGTCCCCTGCCATCCACATACAAATGGAAGGACTTCGGTCGCCCACTAGCAGAGCCAGCGAACGGATAGGTCTCGATTAAAGACTTTACAACCTCAACTTACAACGGCCAGATAATCGTCTATGGCTCGACCAATGATGGCAAGGCGTACGGATCTATGGGTATAACTCGGGATGATATGCTCTCGGGGATATTGAGCTGACATACTCCAGGTATGGCGTTCCACGACTGGCCAGACATGGCCAAGGCTCGTCAAATCAAGATGAACAGTGCCACCGTTGCACCCACTCTGTTTTTCTTCAAGCCGAAGAACATCTGGATCCTCGCCCATCAATGGGGCCCGGGATCCTTTTCTTACAGAACTTCAAACAACCCTACTGATCCAAACGGTTAGTCGGCTTCAAAGGTGCTTTTCAGTGGAAAACTCCCTGCTCCCGATGGCCCAATCGATCAGACCGTCATCGGCGACGATAAAAACATGTACCTCTTCTTCGCAGGAGACAATGGCAAAATCTACCGTGCAAGCATGCCAATCGACAAATTCCCGGGTGATTTTGGAACGCAGTATACGACCGTGCTGAGCGATACGAAGGGCAATTTGTTCGAGGCGGTCCAAGTGTACACTGTAGCAGGGCAGAAGCAATACCTGATGATCGTGGAAGCTATGGGGGCGAATGGCAGGTATTTCCGCTCATTCACCGCAAGCAGCTTGGACGGTGCGTGGACGGTGCAGGCTGGAACAGAGACCGCGCCTTTTGCGGGCAAAGCCAATAGTGGTGCAACTTGGACAAACGATATCTCTCATGGAGATCTTGTCAAGGTCTCGAATGACCAGACAATGGTGAGCACAAACACCACGAGCCTCCCTCTCTAAACACCATGCTAACGTGGAAGTAGACCGTTGATCCGTGCCATCTTCAATTCCTGTATCAAGGCAGGGATCCTAAGGTTAATCCGTCTGACTACGGTCTCCTTCCCTACAGACCTGGTCTCCTCACGCTGGTCTGATCGAATGCTATCAATATGGATAGCGATCTGGTCGAGATGTGCGACGTTACGTTACCCACAATACTTAGTGAACCCGATCGTTCAATCAAGCAGTCTCCGCCGGGCGAATACGTGATGTATTTCGGGATAGCATGTGCTAGAGAACTTGCAGCTTTCATCAGCATCCCGAGGATCTTATAGCCGCGTCTGGCTTCGCGTCGCTTAGATCTGCTTTAGAACTCTTCCCTACTAATAACCTACTCGTCTACCGCACTCGACTCGAGTGTAAAGGGATCTTGGTATATCTTCCGAAGAGTTGATTCTCGACAAGATCTATCGGATAGGGTCTCCTTGTCGATTATAGTTGCAGATAGGTATTAACGATGTACATCGTGACAGTTTTCGCCTTACTAAAATGTCAATCTAGCGGTGAAACTTCGCCATTTGATCGACGCCTAAATCATCTAAAGTCGCATACTGTGTAGATTCTCCGCTTAATGCTAACCTCGTGTTTCTAGTCTTTGCTACTATTGTTCTACGGGACCTAGCCGCGTAGACGAGACGTATAGCATAGCTAGACAGCATCGCGCTTCAGACTGCCTCGCTATAGTTATACTCGCAGGCTAGAGGCGCTAAGTGACAAGGGTGTTGCGAGCTTCCTACTGCAAAGATTGACAGGGGTGCCTGCTAGCAGCGTGCATACAGAGACTTTTATAAGCTCTTCGATGTCCCAATCGTGCTCGCGCTAACCGCCCGAGCGGCGTTACTACGGTAGTACTTTAGTGTCTAGAGTGCAACTATCTTTTTTTAGGATTTAGATTTAATTGTAGGCGGGTAGACGCTTTCTAGCTACTTTAGGTATAGATACGCGCCTATATAATACTATCCTATTTAGAAAAGAGATACTAGTCTAACTATATTTAGATAGATAGATTAATATAAAAAAACCTTAAAAAAAGATAGTAACTTCTTACTTTTAATTTTAAATAGAGTTATTAACGTATATAATTACGGCAAAAAGAGAATAGCTAGAGTAGGATTCGAACCTACGTATATAATAAGAAAGTATTATAATAAGGTATTAAATAAGCTTACTAATCTCTATAAAGTAGACTAGTAAGTTTGCCTAGCGTATCTACTATAACGCTTTTTCGTCGCGTATATAACTACTATATTATCTAGCCGAGAAGATATATAACGCGAAATGCCTAAATTTAATTAGATATTCCTTATTATTAATAGTATATAATATCTACTAAGAGTTATATAAAAGTTTTTTATAATCGTATCTATCTATATAATTAAGATAAAAAGCGAACGAACTTTTATTTAGACTACGATAAGTATTATAAATAAGTAGTATTCTTAGTTACTTATATCCTCCTCTAGTCTAAATAATCTTTATTCCTTAGCTAAGCTATTATTCTATTTACTCTATACGTATATACTAAATACTAGAGAATCGGTAAAAATATCTAAAGGTTCTTTATAGTATAGGGAAGTAACGCGTACTTAGATACTAGATATAAGACTTACTAGGTTTAATAAGAAGCTAAGTCTATCTATATAAATCCGAATAGTTTTATAGAGTACGCTAACTGCTAAGCGGTAGGTTAGATCGTATAGGCCGATTACCTAAGGCTAGTATTTTCTACCTAGGGCGTAGCTCTTTATATTATTCCTATTCTTCCTCTATTCTCTTATAAGGGTAGAATATCTATTATAGTTTCTAGCGGTATTACTTTAGATATTAGATAGACACTTATCTAAGCTCTCTAAAGTAACGCGTTTGCGGCTTCCTTCTTTATAGCTAGGGTCCCTACTACTATAGTAGGGAAACCCCGGCTTAGTATAGATATATATTTTTATATCTTCCTCCTTTATATATATATATAAACAGCTACGAAAAGAACTTAGAGGCAGATAGATATAAGAACTATATCTTGTTCCGCTATAATATAGCTCCCGCTATAGTCCTTCTCTTCTTATTAATAATTATAATGCCGCGTCTTAAAGGTATATAATACTATACCGACCTCTTATAGTTATCTAAGAGATATTAAATTCGAGGCCTATAATATATAGTTCCCTATATATATACCTCTACCTACGACCTACTCGTTCTACCTGTATTTTCTAGAGTCGAAAATAGGGCTATCCTTATTTATTTAAAGGTATAGGTATATATATAGTTACGAAGAAACGATTATAGCCCTCGCCTAGAGCGAAAGCCGGGCTATTAATATAGCACTACTGCTAAAGAGACCTTAGTAGTATCGAGACGTCCTACTACTATTAATACGTTACCGACCTAAAGCAAAAGGAAAATACTATTACCGATATAAAGCAAAAGGATTACTATTACTAATAACGATAAAGCTAACTATTTACGATATATATAATATTACAAATCTATAAGAAGGGTATATTAGTAGGTAGATAGGGTAGTAGTCGGTATAAGTAGTATTCGATAAGAATCTAGAAGGAAAGGGAGGAAGGTAGGCAAGTTAGCCTAACGCTAAGCGCTAAGCCCTACCTAAGGTATCGAGACCCTAGCTTTACTCGGCCTAGTTACACACCAATTACATACAGCATCTTTAGCCCTAATATACGCTTCCCTTCTAAAGGCCGCGCCTTCGTAGCCTTTCTATATTCTAATCTCGACCTCTATTACTACTAACTTAGTAAATCTAATAAGCTACTTAGTCCGCGCTAAATTAAACACTTAACTACCTAATTATATAACTATATTAAACCTTACTTTCTAATAGCAATACAATACTCTAACTACGCTATCCCTATATGTAATAAGGTAATATATATCTGTAAGAATTAAGGGTTATTCGCTAATTGTAGTACGAGCGCGTCTTCCCTACTATAATAGGTAGGCGTACGAGGTATTATAGTACTGCCTCCGTTCTAAGTAATGTTATCCGAGTTCTTTGCGTCTACCCTAAAAGATATAGCAATATTCGCTTCCGAGGGATTGTTCTTATTATTACGAGGGCTATTTACTATTCGTAGTTTCGCTAGCCCTAATTAGTTAGGTTTAGTAGCCTTTAATTATTAATCTTCTAAAACACAGTTCGTCTAGTTTCTACAAGTAACGGCTATTATAAGCGTAGCAGTTAAGGTTCGCCTCGCTTAAAGGGTTAGAAAGATCGAGGAGTAACTTTATTGTCTATAAGATCGACCCTAGCTAGCCTAGCTCTATATTTTAGCCCCGACCGACTATAGCTCTTTACTATTAGCTAAGACTTCTTCTAACTTAGTAGGCGCTTTGTCGCCTTCGCGCTAGTAGTATAGCTTAAGGAGGGATATATATAAGGTATTATAGATAGTATAATAAGGAGGAAGCTATAACTAGCAAGCCTATACATCCCTAGCCTCTTAGATACGGAATAGGCTAATATATCTTAGTACAAGCTTAGGCCTTGTTTTGCTACTAGGTAACAGGTATTTACGGATATAGAGGTTCTTCGTACTAAGTATAACTACATCGCCTTGCTTAAAGGTTATTAGGATATAGCGCTTATCGTAGCAGGTCTTTTAGTATTCTTAGGCCTTTATTAGCTTCTTAGCTATCTTAGCGTAAATTTCTCGTATCTTCTAGATACTTTCTGTTGCCGCTAGTGTCTCTAGTGCTTTGCGCGCTTCCCTTTCCTTACGCTTAGCCTCGAGCGAGGTAAATAGATCTTATAGCAAAGCGGCGTTTTAGCCTATTATAGCTATATAGGGTAAAACCTTAGTTAATAAGTGCACGCTATTATTATATACGAACTCTATAGGTTATAGGAGGTTAACCTTGTCTTTAGGGTTCTTATTAATATAGCTATATAAGTACTACTAGAGGGTAGTATTCTGCCTCTATATTTAACCGTTAGTCTATAGATAGAAGGCTACTAATAGCCGATACTTTAGTCTTAGCTATAAGTATATCTCGCTCTAATAGTGCGATATTAGTATCGATCCGCGATTAGATGCTATCCCCTTAGGGGTTCCCTAATAGGTGTAGAAGATATTATTCTATAGCGCTTCTACTATATTAATCGTAGTCTAATCTTTACGCGCCGGGATATATCGAGCGCCCCTAGTAAATCGATCTACTATAATAAGGATAGTATTATATATATCCTTACTACCCCTACGCTTAGTAGAAGGAAGGCCTATAACAAAGTCTATTATAAGCTCTACGAATAGCTTCCTAGAAATAGAAAGTAAAGACAACTCGCTAAATAGTAAAGGACGGAAACTAATACTACTACTACTACTAGTAGTAATAGTATAGGCAACCGAGGGTAATATAACCTATAACAGTATAGGTAGCTATATTTAGTATAATAGGATAACAAACAAGTCGCTTAGGCTAGTAACTAGAGCCTTGCAATGTAGGCATTATAGGGGTGTAATATAAATAATATACTATACGAGGTTAATAATCCATCTACTATATAGAAGGAGGCCTCTTATATAGGCTTAAATCCTAGCCTATATATATAGGGCCGGTTACTAGCTAATATCCCTCCCTTTCTTCGTATCTAACTAGATACGTTTTATATTACGCGCTAAAAGCAAACAAACAGGCATCTTAGCTAAGGCTATTTTAGAAACTCCGTAATAATACCCCTAGGGTAGTATTATTCCTAGATTCTGTTAGTGTACAAAAACAACTTCCTAAGTAACTAATCTGCTACGCCGACTTACTATTGCTTTAATATACCGTAATCCTTACTAGTAATAACCTTATTAGCTAGTCGGTTCTCCTAAACTCCTCCGTAGGTATTAAAGCTATTAGTACCGAAGTACTCGGCCTCGTAGTAAGCTTAATTAACGAGGAGACTAGTAGCCTTGTCCTATATAGGCTTCTCCTAATCGCGTAGATATTCCTTAAGCTCCTCCTTACTAAACTAGAGGATTTATTTTACTTCGTTCTAAACAACGTAACTTAACTAAGGAATTCTACTAACTAGGGCATTAGAAATATAACTAAGGCCTTCGACGAAGATAGCCGTAGGGAAAGC